AGATCAAAGGGAATGAAAAAAAAAATTGATACATTTTAAAATATAGATTATTAATTGAATGTGAATTGGAATATAATACTCGTATCTGGACAGTAAAGAAATATGATGGGAAAAGTTGCAGATTGATTTACAATCTCAGGGTAATCAACAAAATTGCAGAGGATATTTGTCCAGTAGTAGCTAATTCGTATGATTTATTGACTAAATTGAATAATAATCAGAAATGGTTTGCCGTCCTGGATTTAAAGGACACTTTCTTTTGCTTACCATTGGCCAAAGAAAGCCAAAATTATTTGCTTTCGAATGAGAAAATCCTGACACAGGAAGAAAAACTCAATTAACTTGGACAGTATTACCACAGGGGTTTAAAAACAGTCCAGCAATTTTTGGAAATCAGTTAGCACGAGAATTAGAATTCTGAAAGCCACCTGCTCAGAGGGTGACTCTGTTACAATATGTGGATGACCTGTTAAATGCTACAGAAACAAAGGAAGAATGTGTCCAGTGAATGGTGGGACTATTGAATTTCTGGGACTGAATGGTTATCAGGTATCCAGACAAAAAGCCCAACTAATCCAAACCCGAGTTTCCTACCTAGGATATGAAATAACAGGAGGACAGAGAGAACTTGGAACTGCCAGAAAAGAAGCCATTTGCCAGACTCCACGACCATCGACCATCAAGGAGCTCCGGACATTCCTGGGAATGACAGGATGGTGCAGACTTTGGACCCATGATTATGGTGTTCTGGTAAGACCACTATACGAACTGTTGAAGGGAAACCCTCCCTCTTTGGACTGGACTGATAAAGCAGAGGAGGCTTTTAGAAATTTAAAGATAGAGTTAATGAGAGCTCCAGCTCTGGGACTTCCGGATGTGACTAAACCATTTTGGCTATATTCCTATGAAAAACAAGGAATAGCCTTGGGGGGTCCTTGCTCAGAAACTAGGACCATACAGAAGGGCACTGGCGTATTTTTCAAAATAGCTGAATGAAGTGAGCAAAAGGTGGCCCGGATGCCTAAGGGATGTGGTAGCAGTCGTCATGAACATTGAAGAGGCTCGCAAATTCACCTTGGGACAAAAGATTACTGTGCTAGTGTCCCATGTGGTATCAGCAGTCCTGGAACAGAAAGGAGCCCACTGGTTATGTCCTTCACAGTTTTTTAAAATACCAGGCCACCATTGTAGAACAGGATGATATAGAATTGTGGTCACTAACGTTGTGAATCCAGCATCCTTTTTGCAGGAACCATCGACAGAACCACTAACACACAACTGCTTGACCACTATAGAGACTATATTCGAGCCGACCAGATTTGAAAGAAAAACCTCTGGAAGATGCTGATTCTTGGTTTACTGATGGTAGTAGCTTCAGGAAAAGTGGTAAACGAAAGGCATTACCATCACTTCACAGGTAATAGAAGCTAAACCTTTACCTGCGAACACCTTTGCCCAGAAGGCAGAAATAATAGCATTAATGAGAACCCTGGAATTGGCTAAAGATAAAAGGATAAATATTTGGACTTATTCTAAATATGCATTTGGTGTGGTACATGCACATGGTGCTATCTGGAAAGAACGAGGACTTTTGAACACACAAGGGAAACAGATTAAACATGATACAGAAATTCTACGATTACTGGAAGCTGTTCAGCTACCTGAACAAGTAGCTATTATGTACTGTAGAGGACATGAGCAAGGTGACTCTGATCAGGAAACTGGAAATAATTTGGCTGATTTTGAAGCCAAACGAGCACATGAACAATCTCAAATCATGTCCTTAATTCCTGATGGCAAACTAACAATTGAAAAATCTAAACCTAGGTATTCAAAAGAGGATAGAAAATTGATTGAGGATCTACAGGGACAGGAAAATAAAGAGGATTGGGCTCAAATACCTGATGAGTGAATTGTAATCCCCTATAACCAACTCTGGAAGTTAGTTCAGGAAGAACATAATAAAACTCACTGGGGTGGCAACTCTTTGTATAAATATTTAGACAAACAAATTGTAGGAAGGACTCTATACACCACAGTTCAATTAGTGATAAAACAGGCAGTTATGTCTTAAGAATAATCCTAAATCTGAAAATAGAAATCAAACTGGGACAATTGGGAGAGGAAGTTACCTGGGACAGCAATGGCAAATAGACTTTTCTGAATGACCAAGAAAAGGGGGTTATCGATATTTGTTGGTGCTAACGGATACTTTTTCAGGCTGGCCAGAAGCATTCCTCTGTAGGATAAATAATGGTGATTAAAACATTATTAAATGAAATAATAACTCATTTTGGAGTACCAGCAGCAATTTCTTCTGACCGGGTTCACACTTTAGTGCAAAATTGCTACAAAAAATTAGCAAAAAATTAGAAATTGATTGGCAGCTACATGTTCCTGACAGGCCTCAGGCCAGTGGGCAAGTAGAAAAGATGAACCATCTGATTAAACAACAGATTAGTAAAATATGTCAGGAAACGAATTTCTATTGGTACCAGGCGTTACCACTGACTCTATTAAGAATTCGAACTAAACCTCGGTCAAAAGAAGAGGTCAGTCCATTTGAGATTTTGTATGGAAGACCATATCAGTCCCGGTTTAAAGGAGAAAGTCTTCAGGAAGTGGTATAAGGCTATCTCCGACAGTTTCTGATCAATCTGGGAAAACAGTTGGAGGAGATAAATAAGGGAATAGTAGAGACAAGAGCAAGAGGTTTGGATTATCTGATTCACCCTTTCAGATCTGGAGACTGGGTTTATGTTAAGAATTTTTCAGGAGATCCTCTACAGAAGTGGAGGGGACCGTACCAGATATTACTGACCACCTTTACAGCAGTGAAGATAAAGGAACAACCTGCTTGGATATATTATTCAAGAATTAAGAAAGCACCAGAGCCAGAGAAAACATGGCGGATCAAGCCTTCAGGAACGTTGCGTATGAAATTGCATTGGTCATAATTTGGACTCATATGACAACTGGCGCACAAGCTTGGGACCAGAATTTATACCTGAAATTAGCACAGAATGTTACTATGTTTTAAATCGTAGTGACTGTTGGGTGTGTGCGCAGTTGCCTAAATCAGGAGAAAGCCTGGATCTCCCATTAATTGGAGTTCCAGTTCCTAACACTGTCTCATGGACAGATTTGTGGGTGAACACTAGCAATCTGTATTCGAAGGAAAGGTTAAAATTTGGAATAGTTAATCCTAGTCCAGGTAATAAATATTACACCTGCGCACAAAGATGTATTACACCAGGAACCAGGGTAGGATATTTTGTTTCTTTAAATGCCACAGATGTAGGTCACCATTCAAATTGTAATCATACTATTAATATAGATGGTATCATAGTTCAGTGGTGGCCTGTTCCTAAAGGGAAAGGATGGTATTGGTTATGTGGAAAAAATGCTTATAAGACTCTACCCCCCAACTGGAAGGGGGCATGCACCTTAGGTGCTGTAATACCCAATTTTACTGTTATCGACAGGTATCCTTCCGGGACCTGGATTAGAAGTTTCGCTAGACGGATTAAGTGAGGGTTTAACCGTATTATTGAGCGGCACAGCGCATTTCATAGTTTTGTAAGAGGGCTAATTCCATTTTTGGGAGTAAGTGAATTAGAAAAGGCAATTGTAAATATCTCAGCAACCATAGAGGAAATGGAATGTAAAAACATTGATATAATTCAGGCAGAACAATAAGAGATAACCAGCCTGTCTAAAGTGGTATTACAGAACCGAATGGCTCTAGACATGTTACTGGCAACACAAGGAGGGGTTTGTTCCATAACCAATGAAAGCTGTTGTTCCTATATAGATCAAAGTGGCAGAATGGAAACAGATCTGGAGGAAATTTGGAAACAAACTAAGATATTTCATGAAATGACCATGGATGACACCTCCTGGGGTTTTGAAGAAATATGGAAAAAGTTAACTTGGTTACCCAATCTCTCCTGGTTGAGGCAACTGGTTGCAGGAATATTGATGTTACTTATTTTGATATTGATTACTTGTGGTATGATACAATGTTCCCTCTGGTGTTGTAAACGGTCTATGATAAATTATGAAGGTTGGAAAAGGAATGAAATTAAGCACCAAGTAGAAACGGGAAGTTATTTCAAAAAGACTTTTGATGGTAATGGGAATATATGAAAAAAGGCGGCAAAAGAATTTGCAAAAGGATAGAAAAAGGGGGGAATTTGAGACAAAGGGGGGCACAAAATCACAAAATAGAATATAGAAATCTTTAGAATTAGTTTTAAGTAATGTTAAGTTTGAAGGCTTTGTAACAGTAGCAATGGAAAATTACTGAGGTGCCTGATACATAGAAAAATAGAGTGCAGCTAGAGAACATACCGAGAATTCTCACAAGATAAATTGTTATAGTTGACATAGTTTGAAGAAAAAACAGTTTAGAAGAACAGGACACAGGATGGGGAGTATCTGGGAACTGCAGGTGTCCAGGATGGGCTACAGTTAAACTAACTGATAAGAAGGTGGATAGGAGCATTATTATGTTTCTGGTGCTAATGAACCAATTAAACTGGTATGAGCATCTACTGCGCGTGCTTCAAAGGCTGCCAGAAGTGATGAAGATTGTTGGAGGAAATAAACGACCCTCAGAGACCACCACCACAATTCTGTACGCATGCGAGGAACTCTCTGGAAAACGATGTAATCCATACGTAGCCTCATGAATATGTATGTATGCCCAGTGGCTATAAAAGGACGGCTTGTGTAGCAATACGGGGACACACGTTAGGAGGGGCTATCCCCCATGTCTCCCGGCGCCGCAATAAAGAATACCTGCTTGTCAGCTTGAAAACTGTTGGCAAGTTTGTTCCTGGAGTTTTCTCTGTATCATAAGATACAGTAGTAGAAGGGAAAAGCACAGAAATGAAATCATCAGCCACCTAGAAGATATGACACAAATCTGAGTCCATTTTGTATACCAGGATCATGACTGTTTTTTTTTTTTTCTCCAGTTGTTAATCATATGGAGCAGTGGAAATCTACCTGGCAAGCTGCTGAAGTATGTTCTGCACCCAACAGATACCAGAGCTGGTGTCTGGCTTATGTCTGCATTATTGCCCATAATACATGGCCAACCAGATAATACTGAAAAGCAAGCATTGTTTTCACAGAAAATGAGAATGTATCAAAATGTGCATTTTGCATCTGACCCAAAACATAGAATCATAGAATCATAGAATGGTTAGGGTTGGAAAGGCACTTTAGATCATCATCTTTGACAACTGTCATGGCAAGTCACAAGGTCAATCAAGACTGTGACCCAATCTGTTTAAGCAGGTTTAGAAAGTTGTTCTGCACATCTGTAGCCTAATCTTTCACTATCTTCACTTAGTTTTCATGCAGAGATAGTGGATTTTTCTCCCATCCAGTGGAATAGCCATCCAGAATCACACAGCTGTCTTTATAAATTGCATGAGAGCAGTCTTCACCACTAACAACAATTATGGAGGTGATAAGAGGTTAATAATAAAAGTGGATTGTATACTTCCATCGATACACATGATGGAACTCACACTGAAGTAATCTATCAAATTTGCTTTCAATCTGTTCTTCAAACTGCAGAATAAATAGAAAGCATGTTGTAATTATTTGCAAGGGAAGTCTTTTCTGTAGATAATTTTAATTGAGATGCTCATTATTAAAATGCCAATTAACCTTGATTTTCCCTCCTTTATTATTATTTAAACTAAACACAAAATAACTTTGATGCAGATGTATAACTGTAAAACATTTAATGAGATAAATTGCTTACAGAGCTCTAGTTTAATTAGTTCAGTCATTTTCTGTCAGTTCTAATTGCATAACTAAATCCTCTATGTTTGGCAAATATCACATTTAGTATGAACTTTTTTTCAAGGCAATTAGTTCAATATTCAATGACCTAATTTGTGTACACTTGTGACTTAATTTATGTTTTGTAAACAGTTATTTTGATTCTTATTTCTCCATACAAACTGAAGCAGTTTCAGTTTCTTTATCAATTCAAGATGCATTTTTAGCAATTCAGTTCAAATGTATCGAATGTGTTATATAATAATTATCAAAGTAGCTGAGAGTTTGCATTTCCATTTCTTTTCCACAAGACTTCCAGAAAACTGACATAATGGCATATTTTCTAACATGAAAGGTGTTTCTCTTCAGCTGCTTTCACACTAGATTCAATTAAAAGCATTCAGCATTCTGACACGGGAAGATGGAACACCCACAGCACTGCTTTCAGCTGTTTCCTTTGGGGCAATAACCTGCATGTAATTGGTCATTACTTAAATGAATATTCTCTCCACTACAATACCTACCACCATCATCTCTCACTTTTATCTAGTCGGTGAAACTGTGAAATGCCATTATTCTCTACCTATTCTTTTACCTTTTCCGGGTAAAAAGCCCTGGAAATATGTCAGGAGAAAACTTCTACAGGATAGAATAATAGGATGATCTCAGTCACTGCATTCTGCTTGTACTGTGTGGTTGCCTGTCTACATTCATCTCCTGTTTACTATGATTTGGAGAAAGATCTTGCATCCTAATTTTTGCAAAATTTTTCTTTCAATTAAAGTATAAATATCTTAATACAAATAGTTTGAATGTAATTATCATAATTGATACTTAAGTAAAGTACAATTTGATTGACCCTCAGAACATAATAATCACTGGCAGAACAGTCACCTATGCCCTCCGCCACTGGGAAACACTCCTTTTCAGTAACCTGAGCATAATCAAGTTTATAATGAGCATAACATTCCCCAGTTGATAAAACTAGGGGTGACTACCCAGTCTTCCAGGAGACAAAATTATTTTGTCGATACTGTGAGGTGGGTTTATTTGCACAACTGGGATATTACCTGGTCAATAGAATGATGAAATTTAGAACTGATGCTACATTATTCCCTGCTGTTGATATGAGAATGCAAAATTTTTATCTCCCTGACTGGTTGGAGAAGGAAACATTTTCACTGAGCTGTATCTAGCCCATTAGTATGGGCTACTCATTCTAGGTTATGAAGCATTCATTTTTGTATTCTCTCAGCAAGCTATAAACTACTTCTCTCAATAGCTTACTAGTGTTGTACTGTTTTATTCTATAGGATTTGAAATTGCAGCTCTTTACGGAGTGTGTTTAAATCCTTTGGAGGTGAAAAATTATTAGCAGTAATGGCAAGATCCACTTTCAGAAAGAATCTCCAGTAGGACATTCAACAGACTCCTGGACAGATGCGTATAGAAGAAAACTGACTCAGATACTGGTGTATTCTTTAATTCATCCTGAGATGCCTAACAGTACATATAGTCTTTGAATATATAATTACCTCCACCATGCCACAAGACACTTCCCGAAAATCTACCATAACTTCAGTATTACCAAATTTTGTTCAGATATTGAAAAATAGCATTGTCCAATCCTTTTAGGGCATGCAGCCATCAGCAAAATGTGATTTACAGTATTGAAAACAACTGATATGTCTAAGGGTTACAGAGCAGACATTGAATCTTCATCTACCAACAGGAAGAAATAAACCAAACTTATCAACTTGATGTCTGTGTGTGTCATATCCCAGCTGAAACAGAATACAGAGTAAACCAGGGAGATGATAGCTAGCACCCAAAAAGCAATTTGTATCACTTGAAGCTTTATTTGAAAATGCTAAAATAGTGAAAGCTGTTCAATATCTGAAACACTGTCAGCATCCTCTGATTTTTCTTTTTTTCCCTAAAAACAATAGGCAGATTAGCCCTTGTAAGAGAGGTTACAGTCTTCCTATGCAAAGCGCTCAGCCTTTCCTTAGTGACCTTGATTTGTCATGAGGGCTGCAGTAAGATGGACATATAACATGTAAGAGTCTTCAAGGGGTACCTCCACTATTAATCAACTTGAGAAGAAGGGGGTTGCTGATGGGAATTGTTTCATGCCAAAGTGAGAACATACAGGAGTTAAATAAATCAAATGGAGTTTCTAAAAAAGGAGACAAATGTAGGGCATTCAGAAATTACTTTGTTTTCAGTTGTGCCCTGGCATTTATCATCTGCCATATATACCAGAAAGAGTGTGATAAATTTTTTTTTTCTTTACCTCAGAAGAATCTGAGAGTGGGTCCATTAAGTGCCTTCTTTCTCATATACTTATGAAAGTCAACAACAGTAGGCAAAGCCTAAAAAAAATATGGAAACAATAATTCATAGAAGTTAAAGTAGTTCAAGGTATGTCTGCTTTATGTTATAACTCATAAAATTTGTAGCACATATATTTAGTGTGATATTAATTAATACTAAAATGAAACTTGTTTGTCTTAAAAAACTTTTCTGATTTTTGTATTAAGTAACTGAAATATGTCTGTATAAGTAAGTTAATCAGCTATATGATTAACAATAATTACAGAAAATAATCAATATATAAATTCCTTATCTTAAAGTGACTATTCCAAATTATTTTTTCTATTAAAGTATTGTTTGTCTACACCATGTCTAAGAATTTTAAAGGCTCAAAAATTATGGTGCTCCAGTTCTGCTTTTCAAACATCTGCAGTATGACTATGTGACAAAAGAAACTGCAGACTAGTCCCAGGACTCTGCCTTCAAGTTACCATTGCATTTTTAGTTAAATCAGTCAGAGTTTGGTTTTTTTTTAATTTTTTTTTCCCTTGCAATTTATGACAATAGTAATCGGAATCAGTATTCGAATTAGGCTCTGAATCCTTAGTTTTAGAGAATCACCTGACATAACCATTCATTTTTTTTCTTTCTTAAATCAACAAAGAACCTCAAGCAAAGAAGAAAGTTTGTGTTTCATTTTGCTTGTAGGAATGGTATTACACTGAAGTGGAAATAAAAAGAGCTGTTCAGCCCTAAATGAAACTTACGTTAGAATGAGTTGAAAATGCGTAAGTTTATCAAGAAAAGAATCAACTTCTAAGCTATAATACTGTGGCAAATTTTTAAACTAATATGACCACAACAATATGAGTCATTTCATGATACCGATACCTCTATGGTATAGCTAAATAGAGATGTTTAATCCAAATCATCCATTGACATGAATTTATGTTATGCGTCGCATACTAACCCTTGAATGTGTCTGTGCATATCCTGTGGATTAATTTGTGTTCTAGTTCCTAAAGGTAATGTCTCTATTAATTAACTCCTTGTGAACCTCTAAGTAACTAATATAAATTAACTAATACCTCTTTGCTGAGTAGGATCTTTTTTTTAAATAGACTCCTTATTTAGAAAAAGGTATATTTAAAGCATATAGAAATCTAGAGATCCTTGTTCAAGATATTGCTTGCACCTCAAAGACATTACAGAAATCGGGAATCTTTCTTTGTTGAATATTGTTACCTTTTAATTTGAATGCCTTTTTAGAATCTAGAAGATTAAATTCAAACAGATTTCTGTTATGATAACGAGAAGAATTACCTAAAATAATCAAGCGCTAAAATAATCTTATATTTCATTAGAAATTGTGTCTTTGTCTTTTCAGAAACAATGCTCTTTCTATTTTTTCTAGATAAAACAAACAAAACTGACAATATTTAAACTATTTTTTCGTATCAGGATGATATTTCTTTTGAGATTTATACAAGTAAGTACAGTATATTTGAACTGAACTTTTGGTCTAATTGTTCCTATACAACTTGTATTTAACATCTTTGATCTCTTGAGTTAGTGATCTAATCTGCTGTATAACTCAGCTTTTATTGATCTGTTCTCATGCTGAGCAAATCAAGTCTCACTTTTATGGGAGAGATTGAAAAAGATAATAAAACTGCCTCTGAGACAGCAGTTTAAATCTGTGCAATAACAGTGCAGGCAAGAGATAAGACTTTTATTACACTGCCAAACTTCACATGAACTCAAAGTGTCATTAAATAGGTATGTGTCATTTGCCACATATATTTATTTTACTAGATAATTTTGTAACCACCCATTTAGAAGCAGTGCAGTACATATTTTCTTTGCCACATCCTATTTTCTGCAGAATCTATTCCTGATAATCACAATACATATGAAATATCTTTCTTCTCATACTTTGCATACCTTTCAGATTTTCTGTTCTCGTGTAGTTTTCAAAAAGAATTTTTGAACCTCTTTTACTTGACTGATTTCCAAAAGCAATTTTCAGTAGTTATACAAGTGGGACCATTTTTAATATGCTAGTCTGTCATGATAAAAGAAGATTAATTCTCATATACCCAGAGCTTTTCAATCATGCTCCATAATGTGTGAGTTCTGTAATGCCTAGTGTTATTACATTACTAAGAATGGAGGAAAATAAAAGCAGTGAAAGTGCTGCATCTCAGCTTGATGTTATTGAGCGTAGTTTTACTTTAGAGGGTTTCCTATTGTGGTATTTTTCCCATTGTTCCCTGAGAAGAAAGACCTGATGAGCACACTGAATGTAAACGGTATGTGCAATGGGTGACACTTTTCATTCCCATATATAGAACAGAGGAGAACAAGAAAATGCTTGAAAATAAATTGCCTGATTTTTTAAAAACTTTAACATCCTGGAGTCAGGCCAAGATTGCACCTGACAACTTGCATGTCTATCAATTACATGATTCTAGTGAACACTCTATCTTCCTATCTGAAAGGAATTTTATGATACTAGACCCATGAAACCCTGAATGCCCTTATATAGATCGTAAAGAAAAGTTACTCTTTGTTTACATTACCTCTAAGTTCTACTGTATGCATGCATAGGCACTACACCAGAGCAGGTTGATGAGGGAATGCAGGGCATGATAATCTAGAATTTCATACTATTTTTCCTTATTGAAATGAAGGGGGAAGGTGGAAGGCTGCAAAGAGTCTTTACTGGTAACTGTAGTGAGATCACATGAGTGAAATGTATGTTCCTGTAAAGGCATATCCACATCAGTCAAGTCTATCTATCTATTATAATCTGTTAGTAGCTTCATTTTCTCTGAGACAGCTGCAGGACTGGGATTTGCAAATGAGAATATGAACAATGGAATAATATGACTCAGGTCTAGAATAAACTACTCAAATCTAAATGATACATTATTAACTTGAACACAATGAACACAATTTTATTTACTTATAATTTAATATCAAATGTAGAAAGAATTCATAGGACAACATGTTGATTATATGAAATGCCACTTTGTGATTTAGAATTAAAAGGCATAAGCATACCATACAAACGTTGACTCCTTTTTCACCACCAAATTCAAACATACAGTGCTTTCAACTTATCTTAGGTTGTCATAAGGGAACAACTAATAATTTAAAAATTACCCATGATAAATACCATTAATCTTGATGTACAGTCTCAAAATAGCCAGTTTTAAAACGTTGGTTTCTAGCTGAGATACCAAGCCTCCTTGTCTTTACAAAATGCATTTAACATTCATGTATCGTGGCATAATATATTCCCATTTATCTTTCTATTTTAGTTATGTAATACTGGGATGAGAATCAGAGACATAAGCAGAAGTGGAATAAGAATGTCTGTATTGTGAGTGGGGGGCAGGCAGACTATGATGAGCAACCAAGAGGGAAAGAGAAAAATTAATTGTAAAGGCTTGACAAGACTCAAAGAGACTGTGATCAGACTTACGCAATGGAAAGAAATCCAAGATTTCTAGCTCTGCATTATGCTGCTGTCAAGAAAGATCTCTGGAACCCATTGAGAAAATTTGTGCCTTCATCCACCTATAGTGATTGGGCCACTTAAAGGTTGTGAGTTATTCCCTTAATTTGAGAGATTTAAGTCTGCCTATAGTGTGGATTGGATACATTTTTGGTGAAGGAGACTGGAGGATTTTTAATCTCCTTTCCTCCTTTCCATCAGCCTCAATCAGTGAAACAAATACTCCCCAGTCCTGCAACATGGTCACATCTGGACAGACCTATCCAGTTGAACTAGGTCCGTAACTGGCCCTGTGGATCTGAGTTTTCCAGCTGTACTTATGAAACACGGAGCTCGCAGCGCAGGACTGTGTAATCCATCTGCTTAGGGTTTTGCCTTGCATTTTAGGAGTATGTGAAATTACACACAGAAAATGTTAAAAGGAGACTGAATTAGTAAAATGCAATTAGTACTGAATTTTGTAACATTGTAACCACTACTGTTGTTTTAACCAACTTGATATCAGCACTAATCAAAAGGCTAAATGTTAAGGAAAGCCAGCAGGATAATTATACTAGATGGAGTTAAGATAGTTTAATATGTTTTAACAAAACTAGGAATTTATAAAATTATTTTTCTAGTTTCACCAGAGCATTAGAAAATAAAGAATGAAGGTACTAGTGCAACAAAGCTGACCAAGCCCTGAAATCAAGTTGTTCATTCACTCTGTCAGAAAGGCATCCTGCCAAAGCGGTATCATCTTGATTTCTCCGCAAACAAGTTTGAAAAGCTCCTGATGGCATCAGCCTTTTGGCTGCCAAATCACATGCTGCTTTGTTAAATTCAACAGCAGCCTCCCTCACCCACTTCTTTTTCAAAAGAAAGGAACTATGTTATAAATTTATTCTTTTGACTTGAATACCTGAAAATGTTAAATGGGAAATTTTAGCTATTGGAGAAGAGTTGCTTGATTGTTTTCTTTTTTGATTAAACTTACAGATAAAGATTGAAGAAAACCAATTTTTGTAGGATTACAAAGCATAGCATAGGACAATGTCAGTTGTTTTTAGGGCAGAGAGAGAATGATCTGATATCCATCGTTAATAAAACTCTTCGTATCATTCATGGTGAAAGACATGTTTCTTGGGTGGCATCCCGAGAAGGAATTCCTACATAGAACCGCTTCTGCACTTCAACTGTTCCAAAACTCTCAGCAAATAGAATTTAAGAAACCCAGTAGTGAAATGAGGCATGCCAATCAATACTAGGGGACTCATCCATCTCTCCACCAGAGGTGTGAGAATAATAAGACAGAAGCCTTCAGCAGTGCTGAGCCACATGGGACTGACACAGGATATCTTCAGTATTGCTGATTCCCAACCTGGGGGTCATGACCCCACTGTGGATGGCAAGGCTATTTTCTGGGGAATGCAAAAGCTTCTTTCAGAAACTGAGCGTCTATTTAAATCTGTTTATAGACTTTCTGACTGAGAAGATAAGCTAAAGAAACTGTTTCCCTGGCTAAAGAATGTATGAAAACAGAGTATGGCCAGATCCTGAGATGAGACAGGATGGAAGAAATGGTGTTCCTCCTGCTCCCCAGACACTGCCCAGCAGAGCAGATTTGTGAGAAGTCCTCTGCCAGCAAACGCAAATATTCTGTGTAACTAGGTCTTCCTTTTGAAAGGTCTCCTCTGACCTGCATATGTGGGAAGAGTACGCTGTGTCCAGGCATGCCAGTGTGCCTCCTTTACACACATGCCATCTTACAGGAAAACATTTTGTAACCACGTCTTTTAGGAGATACAATCCCATCTGACTGTGAAGGACCTGCACTATGCTGCCTTATGTTGTCAGCCCTGCAAAGTAACCACATTTTGCTGTCCTTGTTTCTTCCTCAGCCCCCTCACTTTGCAAGTTTTATTTTCTATGTGGAAAGATAAACTCTGTGAGATGAACAAGTTCTCAAACTTCAGGCGTCTCTGAAAGTAATAGGATCTGCATCATTGGGGGACTTCTAGGTACTACATTAATGATAATAAAAAAGCATTCTTCCTGGTCTTGACTGCTAGAGAGCTTGTCAGCTCTCTGAGAGTTTTTAATGGACAAAAATAATAAAGCCTGAATAATGTTAGGTGATATGTGATTAGTCTGCTGCATTTTGCTGTATCATACTTGCAATCAAAGCATTAAAAGTTTCAAAAATTCAATTTTAAAGTATTGGTTTTGCATTATGTTTTGATTTTATTTTTCTTTAAATTTTCATGATAATTTAAATATAAAAAGTACAAATAATTAATGACTAAATTTCTCTTGTTATATTTCTTTATTGCATGCAGTATGATAAAACTTGTTTTAAAGCAAATTTTTTCTTTTTAACTTTTAAACAGTAAATTTCAGTATAATAAAATTTCACTAATTTCTTGAATCAGATTGCTATATCATCCAACAATTGTGTTAAACTTCAGAAATGTTACTTTAGTGTCTTGGTGTTCATTTAAGTATTTCTTGGAAAGGTAAATGAATAGTGTTTGGTGATCTCAGTTCAGTTCCTAGTAAATGTCCACATCACAAAACTGCTACACTTAATTTTGCATGATTGATAGTCTCTGCTTAACTGAGACCTAAGGCTGAGCCAGCCTGGGGACTTTATTACCTCCTATTCTAGTAAGGGTGGTCCAGCCAGGTCAAAGTCGAGGTCAATAGTAGGACAGAGAAGGCACTAATTTTGCTTTGAAACAGACTGCTCTTCATGAAACAAAGAACTTCACTTTCCAGCACTGTTTCACGACCAGAGATAATCTGTCTAGGAATGAAAATGTTTCCGATAAATATTATCTTCTTCACATTCTGATTTTAATCATCAGCGTAATACTTTAAACCTACTTTAAATATTAAATTGTCACTGATGTTGTTTGGAAGGCATATTTTATAGTTAATTCTGAAATCCTCCCTTTGATATAAGCCATCAAGAATGCTTTTGTGCTTTTCTTTTCTCCATTGTTGAAAAAAGAAATACCCTTAACATTAACATTTAAATTTCCCTCAGGGCTGCTGGAAGCTTCATCAGCTTACATGAAAAAGCAGCTATCTGTGTTAAGATTCTGTAGTTTCAGCATAGTTGAGAAAGGTGGTCATACTCATAAAATATATTTTTATTTACTTAGTGTTGCACCTATGATCAGTTCTGCATGTAACACAAAAGTCCATTAGCAACATATTTTTATCCAAAGGAGTGTTAACAGTAAGACTGGAGTGCCTTGAGAAAACCAGGAGGGTAATTCAGTGAGTGGAGTTTGATTACCTATTTTGTTTTCTATTGCAAAACATTTATTTCAAGTTAAAGCTGAAGAATAGGATGCAATGATGTTACAAAGGCTGAATTACAACTGGAATAACTCATGTGATCAAGTCCCAACTAAAAAATGAATGTGAATCCATAAGATTGATAAGACCTATAAGATTTAAGGCTTTATAAATTAATTTTTTCCGTGTTGCAAAGTCCGTACTTAAATTTAGGAATAGTCAGTAGCTCTGAGATTTTGACACTCATTTTTAAAAAGTATTTAACTGGTTATGTGTTTGTCTTTGCAGTGAACGAATTTCACTGCAATGTTTTTAAGATAAATAATAGCTGTCTTTGCCATCTGAAGTGGAAAACCTGTTTGAGGCTGTAAAGAACTGAGCTATGTACCTGCAGAGCCAGCTTCTGCTTACTGAAAATGTGGGTTGTAAGGAGGCTGCTCAAGCAAAGAACAAAAAGTGCTGTTTTTTTCTTTTTCTTATGCTTAAGCAACAGGGATTCAGGTGCAGTGCTGCAATGGATGAGAAGACACAACACAGAAAAAAATAAAATTCCAATCTTAAGCATCTAAATTTTGGGAGAATTTAGGATTTTAGATTTTGCTCATCATAAAAAAGAAGGCTCTTAAACATACTGGAATATAAGTCTTGTTTAGGTATACTCAAATGGAGGAGAAATTTATACCTAGTGCTTTGGTATTTCATCATTTCCAGTGTGTGCTTTTCTTAGGATACTTATATATTTAACGAACAGGTTTCACTATAGCATTTTTAAATTGAAGAGCCATGGTTTTCTTTTTTAATACCTTGTGCTGAAAACTCATAAACATACTGATGACTCAGCTAGCAGTTGGTTCAGATTTAATGCAATAAATGTGTTGCAATTTCTGTCATTGGATCAAACCCCTAAAAAAAAGAATGAAAGTTTTAAGCTGAAGGACATCATGAAAGGCTCTAGGAAAGGAGCCACATTACAGTTCTCTCTTGTTATCCTCTTCAAACCAATAATTCATTTTCAGATTATGGCTGGGTGTATAGTCTAGTTTAGCTGAAAATGAAGTAAGTACATTAATATAAAATATAAAAGGACTGAAACAAAAAAGATTATATTTTTGAACTTGAAGACAAACATCTTTTAGATGAGGTGTCTTAGAGGGAATACGGACACTCAACATACAAAAATAAGTCTGTTTTTGTTGGATTTATTTGCTACTGTTTCAAAATCTCTATGCTACTAAAATTCTTAAAGAGGGATTAACTTTGCACTGTTGATAAAAGATCAAGAAGACAATACAGAATGACTTTGCTTTGTGAAAGTAAAGATTGAGTATCTGAAGACTTCTGGAAACAAAGCATGATCTGCAATGAATTGGAAACATATGGAGGGGGGAAAAACCCAAGCCTAAGAAGTAAACATTAGTTGATGTTCATAGTGAAGATCAAAAGCTCCCATAAACCATCTTCTACAAAAAGGATGACGAAAGCTCAGATTGGAAACTTCGTTTATATTCTGCAATTCCTTTCACACTTCTTAAAATAATTCCTAGTACACAAGACAGACTGAGAATTGTATGACTTAGATATCAGATTCTTTATACACATATATTACAGAAAAATAACCTGATTCATTTTTGTATTCCCTTAGCTTAACAGTACTGCAACCTTGACAGCAACGGAGCAAGATCCTTGTAACACAAAGAGTTGTGCTGCGGTGAATTAAAGCTGCAGTAGGTTGCTGGGGGGGTTTGTGTGGTTTTTTGTTTTCCCATTGTTATGTTTTGCTTTTTTGTTTTAATTCCTTCCTTTCCCTCGCTTCCCCCACCCAGAGTTATATTATGCAAATTAAAGAAAGTAATCTTCTTAATAAGTCTGATGTTAATTCTTATGAATGAATCCATACTGTAACTGAGCTTCAGTAGATGGCTTTATTCTGAGATGTTTTCTTCCATTTTCTTGATTTTCTCTAAGTATGTCCTTTTGTGGAAAGTGAGACAGCAGGGAATGCTACTGAAACAACAACAATATTCTCATCTTTTTCAAAATTTGATCTTGTTGATTTGTCACATTTGCCATGTATTTTTTAAAACATACAGCACTTTAGAAAGTCCTGTAATTTTGCCTTTAGCAGCAGCTAAAGAAAAGAAATAAAATCTGAGTTTTCATTTCATTCATTCAACCTTGTTTCTATATCAAGTAGCTAATAATTCAAGATGTGAACTTACTTTCTTTTGTATATTCCAAGGTCTGGAATTTAAAAATGTCAAGGTAAACTTACAGCTGAATATTTCAAAATTAGATGCTAAACAAACATAATGGATTAATTTTATTATAGTGTAATTTTGTATTGTTTTTCCTAAATATTTTTGAACCTTAGAAGCAATTTATTTGATAGGAAGCTTTTTCTTGCATGCTTCTGATAACTTCCCAGGTCCATAACGTGGTATGCTGGCTTTATCTTTTTAAGTTCTTTAAAATAGATACTTATGAAATGCAACCATATCCTGGGCTGCATCAAAAGGAGAGCGACTAGCAGGTCAAAGGAGGTGATCCTGCTCCTCTACTTTGCTCTCATGAGACCTCACTTGGAGTATCACATACAATTCTGGTGCCCTCAACATAAAAAGGACATGGAACTGTTGGAATAAGTCCAGAGGAGGGCCACGAGGATTATCAGAGGGCTGGAGCACCTCCTATATGAAGATAGGCTGAGAAGGTTGGGGCTGCTCAGCCTGGAGAAGAGAAGGCTGCATGGAGACGTTTAGACTGGATATAAGGAAGAAGTTCTTTACTGTAAGGGTGGTGAAGCACTGGAATGGGTTGCCCAGGGAAGTTGTGAATGCTCCATCCCTGACTGTGTTCAAGGCCAGGTTGGACAGAGCTTTGGGTGACATGGTTTAGTGTGAGGTGTCCCCGCCCATGGCGGGCGGGGGGGTGAAACTAGATGGTGTTAAGGTCCTTTCCGACCCTAACTATTCTATGATTCTATGATTCAATTTGGTAACTTCTGTTGTTTAGGGGGCATTTTCACTAGGAAGAATGCGGGTCTTCAATTTAAAAGGAAGATTCTCATAGACTGACTTTAAAATGCATGGAATTTGTTTCAAAGAGTTTCCTTTCCTATATTAAAGCATCCAGGAAAATAGAATTAATTTAAAGCTAGTTTTAATAATACCTACTCATCTTGATATTCCGTGTATAATTTTTAGGAGTTATAATATGAAAATAACGGTTGAGTTATATTTAGGTAACATAGGGTGATTGATCTTCTCTAAGGGGTTTTACAAAATAAAATATTTTCCAATTAGTTCAACTTTTCAGAAGAATAGTGCTCATGGTACTTGATTTAAAAGTTTGCATTTTTGTTTGCCATTTGATGCTTTAATATTAAAATTGTTTATTGACAACATGCTACTCAAGCACTCTTCAGTACACTGTTCAAATATTCCTTCAATACTAGAAAAAAATCCATTTTTCTAAATCTTTCACTATTATTAGTTGTCATTATAAGGCTCTTTTTTACTTTTTTAAAAACACGCTATTGGATTCCTAAGATAAACTGAAAATCTATTTTTTTCTTCAAAAAGAAAAGCAGATTTTCAATGTCCAGCATTGAAACTGAGCAGAAATTTCATTACTGTGATTCAGCCAGCCTTAACATATTTTGAGATTAATTCATGATTTTTTAATTTTATTTTTCTTTTATAATTTTATTTTTAACACGACTGAAAAATCAAAAGATGTCAGGATGAATTTAATTAACTAATACTTTGATTATAGTGCCCTTTCCCTAACTAGGGAAGCTGGCCTGCAGGTCAACCACTAGGGCATTCTGCATTATCATAGCATCACAAATCTATACACTTGATTCTTCCAGATGCAACAGCTTCCAGAAGAAACAAAAAAGAGTCTTAGGA